CCGTTCTATGACTGCAGAGAATTATATCTCCTATAAAAAAATTGCTGCAGAAACCTTAAAATTACTGTCAGACAAAAAGCGAACTGGTTGGTTTAAATTCTGTGAGTCACTGTCACCTAGGACTCCCCCATCTTTGGTCTGGAGAAATGTTAAAAAATATCGCTGTGCAGTTTCTAGTGAAAATATAATTTCTAATGATCCTTCCCCGTGGATAGATGAATTCTCTAATAAACTTGCACCACAAACAGTCCCATCTTATGATGAATGCCTAGTTTTTAATTCTGCTTTTTTAAAAACAAATGATAAATTTGATTCCCCCCTTTTCTTCTCAGGAATTGTTTACTGTACTCAATGGCCTTAAAGACTCCTCACCAGGTATTGATGGGATTCCTTATTCGTTTATAATTAATAGTAGTGAGAACACTAAAACTGTCTTACTATCCATTTTAAATTTTATTTATATTACTGGTGATCCTCCTGCTGAATGGAAAACCCAAATTATTTTGCCCATTCTCAAACCAGGTAAGTCTAGCAATGACCCTTCCAGTTACCGACCTATTGCCCTTTCTTGTACTTTGGCAAAAATCTTGGAACATTTAATAAAAAATCGCTTGGAGTGGTTTTTGGAAAGGAATAATCTCTTACCTAAAAGCCAATTCGGTTTCCGAAAAGGTTTAAGTACCATGGATAGCCTAAGTACTTTGGTCACAGATATTCATATTGCTTTTTCAAAACATGAATTTCTCATAGGAGTTTTCTTGGATATTTCTTCTGCATATGATAATGTGCTTCTTCCTGTGCTCAGGCAGAAAATGCTTAATCTGAGCATTCCAGTGAGGATAGTCAATTACGTCTCTAACTTTCTCTCTTCTAGATCAATATCTATAAATGTTAAAAATCTCCTGCTTCCCCCAAAAACTATATGGAAAGGACTTCCACAAGGCTCAGTTCTTAGTCCTCTCCTTTATTCTATATATACTCACGATTTAGAACTTTCAGTAAATTCTTTTTGTAATGTTCTTCAATATGCAGACGATTTAGCTCTATACATCTCCTTAAACAACTTCACAGTGGCATGTTCCCGTCTAAACTCATCCATGGATTATTTACAAGAATGGTTAACTAATCATGGCCTCTCTTTATCTGTGGCCAAGAGTAGTGTGGTGATCTTTTCCCGCCAAAGGCGAGTTCCCGATATATCTGTTGTATATGATAAGCAACCTATTCCAGTTAGAGGCAATGTTAAATTTTTGGGAGTTATCCTTGATTCGAAATTGGCCTTCGGTCCATACATTGAATATATAACACAAAAATGCGAAAAAAAACATAAATATTCTTCGGTCTTTGTCAGGTGTTTGGTGGGGGTCCCATCCTTTTTCTCAGAAATTACTGTACAATGCTTTAATACGAAGCCACCTTGACTATGGATGTTTTCTGTTGGAGCCTTGCAATAAATCATCCCTGAAAGTAATGGACAAAATTCAATCGAAATGCCTTCGCATTATTACAGGGGCAATGAAATCCTCACCAATAAATGTTCTTCAGGTTGAGTGCGTAGATCCTCCTTTAAGATTAAGAAGGCAATACCTTTCAGACAGATTCTTATTTAAGATCTGCCAGCTTTCAGATCATCCCCTAATTCCTAAATTGCATCTTCTTTCAGAGTATATCTCATCTGACCGATACTGGACCCATAAGGACTCTCCCTGCTTGTTTAAAAGTTTTGTAATTTTTCTTCAGCTTCCTTACCCAATCTTTCAATGTAAAATAAATCCACTCTTTGATGTTCCTTACGAGGCTATTGTTTACCAACCCGACATTCATCTAGATCTAGGTATAGAAAAGGATTCTCCAATGGCAAATTTGAAATTAAAAGAAATTATAGAAAACACCTTTAAAGATTGGCTTGTCATGTACACAGACGCTTCAAAACAGTCTGATGAAGACTATACTGGAGCTGCTGTTTGGATTCCTAAGTTCAAAATCATTCTTAACTTTAAATGCCCCTCACTATCCTCCACTTTTACCGGTGAAGCAACTGCAATCAGTGAAGCTTTGTTATATGTAGAGTCACATAATCTTAATAAAACAGTTATTTTCACAGATTCAAAAAGTTGTTTGTTAGCTATTTTGTCCAATCAATTCCATAACAAACATAAATTTCCACTAATTCTTAAAATAAAAAATACCCTATTCAGATGCCATCTTAAAGGAATCCATGTTTCAGTGGCCTGGATTCCAGGCCACAGTGGTATCCATGGTAACGAAACAGCTGATGTACTCGCTAAAAATGCAATTGCTAATGGCATTCTACAAAATTTAATTTACTCACATGACCTAATTTTGCTAGCTAAAAGGAAACTGAATGAAAATTGGAATAAATTATGGGAAGTTTCCAAAAATGTTAAAGGTAAGCACTATGCTGCCATCCAAGAGGTTATTCCTCCCAAGCCTTGGTTCTTTAAATTTAACAAAGCAAATAAACATGCAACTTCAATCATTTGTAGATTAAGAATCGTTGGACACGCTTGTACACATGCACATCTGGCAAAAATCAGAGTAAGGGATAGCTCATTGTGTGAATGTGGCTTAGATGAAGGTTCCACAAACCATATTTTTTTCAACTGTCCCAAATTATCCTCCTCCCTTTATGATTACCTTCCTCCTTATATTCCTCGACCTATAGATTTTAATTCTCTTTTAACATATACCAGTACTCCTTTTGTGTATATTTTATGTGATTTTATTAATACTAATAATATGAAACTTTAAATCCTTGTCACTTTTAACATACGGGTAAGAGTCTAACACCTGTGTTTGTCATATTTGTTCTAGGTAATTCAACAAATAGATTTGTCAAAATTCTCGGAGGAAAACTGAATCCTTGTATTATCACAGACTCTTATTTTAATTAAACTCATAAGCTTTCATTTTCCACTCAATACGTCATTGGCGAATTTTATCAAACCGCCACAAAAGAAAGAAGAAGAAGAAGAAGAAGTAGTTCAACCTTGAATTATCCAATCACAGCTCATTTGACACGTCCCCTGCAACACATGCATGCCGCGAAATTCGGTGAAATCGAAACAGAACAAATATTCCATGATGCGGTATCTATTAGTGGGTAATCTGTGTGTAATAATTAATTAGAATGATATAGGTATTTACAATAATATATAGTATAATCGAATGTCAAACGAAATATATTTTATACAATCCTATACTTTTAAACGAGCATTTCTTGTATATATATATAGTGTTGCGCGCCTAAGTTGACGTCATGTTGTGTCAGGGACGAGAGTGGGGGAGACTTTCCAGAAAATGACATCACTAATTTTTCAACCGACAGCGCCATCTAGTGTCGAAACGAAGAACTAAGCTTCTAGAAGCCGACACTCGAACTTTCGACGCCTTGCGCGTATTTACTTGAATGTTCTGGATGTTTCGGTGCTAATGTGTATTTATAGGCGCTGCAAGGTGCGATCGGGAAGTATTGAATTTGGCGAGACAAGCGAAGCTTCGGAGCGAAATAAAGTGAATCAGTGTGATTAATTATTAGTGTTTTAAGTTTAATTAGTGTAAAGTGAATTAAAGAGTTAATTTTGGGAATTCTATCGGCAATTTTTATTGTCACGAACCCTAAGCTCGTAACAATATATATATATATATATATATATCTATATATATAATCGGAATCTCGGAAACGGCTCTAACGATTTTCATAAAATTTAGTGTCCAGGGAGTTTCGGGGGCAATAAATCGATAAAGCTAGGATTTATCTTTAGAAAATGTCCTTTTGTCCGTGTTTTCAGGCAATAAAAAAACTGCTACAATATAAGAAGGTAAATTTTGACAGATTACTAACGATCGTAATAGCTCTAATTGTATATATGTTTGAAGGTGGGATGTCGGTCAGGCGTGATATCGGAGTTCCGTGGTTTGCGTCTTGCTGTCTTTGGTACAGCTTTTTTTCTTTTTTTTTCAAGTTCCCTTCTTTTGTGAGAAAATCTATTATTTCAAGCCCTTTTTTAGTATTTTTTAAAAATACGAAAATTTTAATAAAACTAATTGCACTCATGATTTTTTATTCGAATAACCAGTTCAGTTTTTTCTATTCTGTCACTAAGATCAAAAAATATTATTTAATTTTCATCAGTATGTAAATTATAAATGTAATTTCAAAAAAAAACCGAGCAAAGCTCGGACATCCGGGTAATATCATTATAATATGCCTACTGATGCTTCACTTAAATATTCACCGATTGAGTAGTAGCATTTCTCAATTAGAAATGTTTTAAATTCTTTTTTAAATTTATGAATATTTTCCATTCCATGAAACATAGATGGAACCTTATTATAGATTTTAGATAATATACCGAAAACGCTTTTTCCAAGTAAAGCTGTTTTTGATGAAATTGTATGAATTTTATTTTTACTTTGATTGTTTGTTATTACGTAATCATTAAATATTTTAGGAGAGACTATAGATAGTCTCATAGTAACGTATCTTGGGCCTGCCTCATAGATGAGGGAGGCCCAAGATACGTTCTAATGAAACATGTCATGATAATACCTGTCATTATAAATAACTTATTTTAAAATATATTTTAAAATATCCGTGGTGTCCACATGCAATGAAGTTTCTAAAGGAACTGTATTCCACGACTGGTCGTCGCTGCTGGTGATAAGAGGGCTGGTTCTTTCCTCGCTCAAAGGCTAAGTATAGCTATTCAGCGAGGAAACGCAGCCAGCGTTCTTGGCACTATACCACGGGGAGCAGGTCTTTTTGACGATTTAAATTTTTAGTTTTAGATTTTCTATATTATAGTTTCTTCTTTTATATTGTATATAATTAGTGTTAATCGTTAATATTATAATTTTAATTATTATTTTAGTTAAGTTCTTTATTATAATTTTGGTAATATAAATTGAACGTTGTAACTTCAATATGGAATAAGTAAATGAAATTTTAATATCAAATAAAAAATATTTGTACCAACCTACTCTTAATTTGAACCTCTGGAAAGATTCCCTGTTTATTTGGTCTAGTATGGTCATCAGGGCTATCGCGAACTCGACAAGAATCCCCACCGTATGTTCCTCTTTCGTATTTGCATCCTGTTACAAAAACCAATGTATGCAGTTAAGCAAAGCCAAAGAAGTGGTATTCGATGAAAATCCATCATCCTCTTTGTAAATAAGAACTTACCAATTGTTCCTCTTTTCCAGGTCTAAGTCCTGACGCGATCATGTAAGTGCTGCCAATAGTTTTTATCTTCTCTATGCAGCTGAATTTCGGCTTCAGTAGCAACTGAAAGAATTGCGTGTTACATAGTAAAAGTTTGGTTCGTAAAATGTGACCAGGATTAGGAAACGATTGCTTCGGTGGATTGAAAATGTAGAAAGAACGTATGAGGAAAGAGTGAAAAAGAAAATTATATACAAATTAGACGGAAGTATATCGACGAAATAAATGACATATTGAAAATGGGCAAAATTAAGACACAGATGTGAAAGAAGCAAGCAAGAGTTATTAGGATTATGCGAAATGGAAGTCCGTTGCCTCTGCCTACCTTTCTGTTTGACAGACGTGGGATTTTATGGATGTGTATATGATAAAACTATTTTTTGAACTATATTTTATTTGATTATTTTTATGGTAATGTACTGGAAAATCATGTAAAACTATTGTCAAAGAAAAGAGGAGAATAGGTAAAAAGACTATAATATAAATACTATTTCTTTGGCGCATTGATTAATTAACTTAAGGAGGTTACTTTAAAAGTTAAAAATGAAGATTAAAATACTGAGATCATGCTGTACCAATTAAAAGTTACAATATGCATGTTGCGATGCGAACCTTTAATTATCAGGCGCGAGGTTGATATTTTAAATAGTTTTTTTCGCGCCTAATTAATAAATAATAAATGACAGCACCATCTTCCTCATAACAACCTGAGGATAATAATAAAAAACTGTGGTTGCCAACCTGTCTGCCAAGTATGGCAACTATAGCAAACATTTAGAAGACAGGACTCCATATAAGGCAGACCATCGGAGAGGCTTATGTTTATCAGCGATATTTTAACAGGCTGTAAAGAAAATGAAAATAAATAAGGTTTACAATGGGCTGATATAACGCGTTTAGTCATTCCCTCCCAGTCATCTCTAAGCGGAATGTGATAATGTGATAGATGCATTAGAAGTTACCACATATATAATTAATGCATTTTCTAATTACAGCCCTTTACAAGTCCACTGCTGAACATAGACCTCCCCCAAAGAATGGCACAAGCACGGTCCTGAGCCACCTGCATCCATCGATTTCCTGCATGTCCTACCAGGTCGTCACTCCATCTAGTGGGGGTCGCTGTGCGCCACTCGAGAACCTTTTTCCCTCATCGGTTGTCGGTTTTTCGAGCTATATGGCCGGTCCATTGCCACTTCAGCGTACTAATCCGTTGGGCTATGTCGATCACTCTGGTTCTACTGCAGATATCCTTATTTCTAAGCTTATCACGCAGAGAAACCCCGAACATAGCCCTCTTCATAGGTCGCTGAGCGACCATGATCGTTCTCATACGACCAGCAGTGATTAATACATAAGTATTAAAAATTTTTTTATTATTAATTAAATTCTACACAAATATATAAACAATAACATGCAACATTACGCTTCCAAGAATAAGTTAATATTTTAGTTACAATGGAAATGGCAAATGTGACACTAAAAGTTAAAAACCTTTAACCGTAAACTTTAGTCGTGCCTGGTTGTATGATAAAATTTGTGGCGGCGCTGTCGTCGCGCCACAAGCGAAACACACCGAAGCCTAAATCGCGCTGTCAAAGTTCCGAGTCATAAACAGTATATATAGAACATCTCCGAACTATCACACCCCCATCAATTCGGTTTCCGAGCGCAACACTCATGTCCCCAACAAGTCGACCGTATTGTAGAATATATCCTCAGCGGTTTTTATCCTCGTCGTCATAAGACCATCGCGGTCTTTTTCGACATAGCTAAAGCTTTCGATAGAGTCTGGCATACAGGCCTTATCTACAAACTCTACAAAATAGGTCTCCCCGATCGTCTAGTACGTCTCGTGGCCTCTTACTTAAAGTATCGTACCTTTCGTTTTAGACACGAAGGCACGCTATCCTCACAGCGAACTATCAAAGCTGGTGTCCCTCAGGGCTCAGTACTTGCTCCTCTGCTGTACATCCTGTACACCAACGACATTCCCATCCCGTCGAAAGGTGTTCAGCTCTCCCTCTTCGCAGACGACACTGCTATTTACTGCAAAGTTATCTCACTACCCTTCATACGGAACAAGATTCAAAAGTCAGTTGATGACCTAGGAGCTTGGTTCAAAAAATGGCGCATCGATGTGAACCCGGAGAAGAGCTCCGCCGTTCACTTCGATTATAAACGACGCCGTCTCAAAAACACTCCACCTATACGTATGCTAGGGACCCCTGTCCCCTGGCATACGTCCGCCAAATATTTAGGTGTCACCCTAGACACAGGGCTCACTTTCAGGCCCCACGTCAAAAGAGTAACCCGTCACGCACGGTTTTATCTGAGTAGGCTCAACAGTATGTTGGGCCGACACAGTAAAATGTCCCTTAGAAACAAGCGTACCCTTCACAAGGTCTGTATACGACCATTCATGTCCTACGCGGGCCCCGTTTTTGCCCACGCCAACCCTAAAATTATTAATGAACTCCAATTCTTTATAGTTCAAAACCTTTTCTGTCGTCGAGCTGCGAACGCACCTTGGTACGTCCGTAATGCTGACCTTCATCGGGACCTAGAGCTCCCCCACAATTCAACAATTTCTCCAAAAACTCTCTGAGAATTTCTTCAAAGCCTCAGAGTCGCACTCAAATCATTTAATTCGGGAGGCAGCTACTTATGCAGCCCCACCCCCCCTCTCGCTATCGAGTCCGCAGGCCGAGAAACTCTCTCTCGGACCCGCCTAATAAACTAACAAACGACCTGAACTGCCTCCTGGCGGCTCAGGCTAACTCTAATTAAATTAAATTATTACTCACTCATAATTAATTTGCCTTCGTAGGCACTCCCTCAGCGGCTCGTAGCCGCCTGCGCCCTCTTTTCCCAAAAGAGGGTCGCTGACGATAAGGCACAATAAAGCTTAATCAGCCAGTTGCCTGTCCCTAAAGGCGGTTTTTAGAGGGTATCACTTAGGTCCCCGGTAAGATGTGAGTCCCTCATAACCATGATAGACCGGCTATCGTGGTATGCGTAATGCATTTTCCGCCTCCCTACGTATAGGGTAGCCCTTTATTTGCTTCGGACACAAAAAAAAAAACTATCACATGGAGTGTTGGCCGCTCCCCGTACAGAACACCTTGCCCGGCGGGAGATCTCCCCTTTTCCTTTTACGGCCACAAATTATTTGTTATTTTTTCGAATAATTTGTTAAAATCCCTCTTTTAGAGATTTGCAAAACGGACTTATCAGTAATTAGGTACAGGTTAAAGGATTTTCAGGACAGTTCATAAAAACTGTCGTTAGCAGGTTAGATAATCAACAAACCTTATCAAAGTCACAGATGATCTCGTTGAGTAAACGAAGACACTCGAGGCCCTGCTTGTTGACATCAGTCTCGTCGTAGAACTCCTTGTAGTTGGGAATCGACGCGAACATAACCGCGATGCTAGAGTACCGCTCGTGGTATAGATCTTCCTGGTGACATTGCGTTTGAAATTGTGACAGAAAATCTTCAAACTATACCTGGCTTAACAGAAGTTAACAGTATAGAGTTACCGGGTACAGAATATCAAAAGTCCCCCGCTGAATATAGGTATCCCTGGATATTAGACACAGTTGCCACCCCTGGCAGGCGGATAGGCAATGGCAGTTTCTTTTAGTCGTAAGGAAAACGCTGCTATCCATCTCCTGATTTGTTTCCCTCTGTCGTCTCTTACGACACCCACGGATCGATATGGGGTAGTGAATATTTTTTTATAGAATAAGGATGACAAGCGAGCACAAAGTCCACCTGCTGGTAAGTGGATACTGTGGCCCTGTGGTCATCTACATTTATCCTCGATTAAGAATCGAAACGCAGATGCGTTGTCACCCCTGAGGACTAAGATAGAATGCCTCGTTTTCAGCTAAAAGGGGGTCTCCGGATCTCTACTCTCACCATACGAAACACAACAACATTAAACTGCTATTTTACAATGATATTCTGTGAGAGCGCGGTCCTTCCCCGGTCGAACCGGCCCATTCGTACTACAGTCATAATATAGCTGCAGCGTGGCTCTACCGTTTATTATTATTATTTACATACATACCGAGTATATGGTTTCACTTCTAGGTACTACACTATAATAGCCCGATGGTGTCGTTAGGTATAATAATTTTATATAAGCTATAGGTAAAATTAGATGGAGTGACGACCTGATAAGATATGCAGGAAGTCGATGGACGCAGAGGGCATGGACCGTGCTTTGTGATATTCTTTGGGGGAGGCCTATGTTTAGCAGTGGACTTGTGAAGGACTCTAATATTGATGTTTTTGATTATGAGTATAATCATCCACATATATCCAGAACAACGGTGGTGGTGAGTGAAATTTTAGGTAGGTAGGTTGCCGGTCCAATCTCACGAACAAACGAACGAACCTAACGAAGAGAGATTTCGGTGACTAGAACTAGAAACACTGGTGATCTAAGGTATTGAATAGAGATGGTGTTGCACCGTGATTTGTTATAGTCTCCTATAAAATAAAAAGATAATTATTATTATTTTAATTGCGCTTTATATTTGAAGGGTAAGTTTTTTTTTAAATGAAATGACAATCTAACTAACAGACCATAACGTAAGCGGCTACTGTAGCCCAACTAAACAATTTCAAATAAAGAACGACACGTTATCACGACGAGATCTTAGATGGAATGCCTGGCAGACTGTAATCATACTGGCTCTCTATATCCTTTATATCGTGTCCTTACACGATGTGAAGAGGATCATAGGCTGGTAGGAGGATCAAGGGTACCAACTAAGACGGAGTCCAAGTCACAAAAGAGTCCTACCACCAGTAACTTCGTTGCGATTATGGTATAACCTTGTAATTTCTTTATGATTTCATATCTCACCTCCGACGCAAAAGAAGTAAGGAAATGCTCGGCAACGTGTGCAGGCAGAATGTTCTCCAGAAGGATCTGTAATGATTTTTTTAGAATAAATAAAAACATAGAGTTGTAGATGTTTTCATCAATTACATGTTAGATTTATAGCTCTACTGGTTCACCTTTTTTACCGTCTTGAAAGAAATGGGGTGTAACATGTGAACAGAGTAGAAGCCTATAGCACAGATATTTTACAAAAAATAAAAACAAAAATGTTGAATTAAATAAATAAATTAATTAAAATCTATCGAAATTTAAATCATATCCACCCTATCTGCGACCCTGCGAAGTGACAAGGTCAAAGATGCCTAGGTACTAATTTTATTGTTTTATTGCCGTTCGTAAAGTAGGGTGGACATGATTTGAATTCCGATGGATTATAATTTATTATTTATTTATTTCAATTTTTTTGTAAAATAACAGTGTCTTCGGCTTCTACTCCGTTTATGTGTTACACCCTATCTTTTTTTCATACGGCAAAAAAGGTCATCCAGTATATGATACATTTTGTTTGTTTATCAGATGAGGTCATTAAAAAGTTCAGAAAAGTTTTGAAAGCATTGAATATATACATATAGTATATTATCTCAAGTTAGGGCGCCGTTAAAGTAGTTAATAACTTTTTGAACCTCTGTTACTCTACTTAAATGTAATTACTTCGGCAAAAACACAATAATTTTTTTTAAAATTGAGCATATGGAAAAGCGATATGTGATGACAAAAACGTGAATGAATAATTTATTCTGTGATCATACTAATTGTCTCGATATATTTTTATAATAATTATGACACTAAATATCCAGGTAAACGCATGCCTTGCGGTAAGTTAAAGTTATATCAGATGAAAGGGTTTATTTTCAGGTCATATTGAAAACACAGTGTGAAGCATCGATTTGTTTTATCTTATTTAAAAAAATCAGATAGTTCAAGCGGTCATGCTCGTTCTGACCAGACCCGCCAGGACATGTTTGTAATTAAACGTTAAAATTTTCACCGCTTTAGTGTTTTTTATTTACACAGTACTGCATGAGACGGCCTTAACTAACTTCAGGCGCATATATACATACAATATTTTTGCATTTAATTTAGTTTGATATAAAATGAATAAAGATATTTAATTAATTCTAAGTTGAGAGTCAATTTTAAGGGCAATTTAGGTCCTTTTTTAATCCGCGTCAATATTGGGAATTAGTTCTGAATGTGCAGGTCTGCGAAATAACAAATTATAGCGACTTTATATATAATAAAAACATCATAATATGTTTGTAATCATTTTATGTAACCTACCTTGTTTATCCCTCTCATAGTTTCCACCTCTTCTTGCTCAAACTTAAGTTTATCCTTCCAGAGGAAATCCGTCCTGGATGTGAACTCTATCTGTCGATCGAGAATGTGAAGCAACGCTCCTAAGAACACCAACACCAAGCCAGCTTTAGCCGAGTAGGGTAGCATTGAGAATCTGGAAATAGTTATAAATTGATGATAAAAAGAAGCAGTAAATACTAACTGTTATAATCCTTGAAAAAGAAATTATGACATTTTATAATTAGGTTTATTACTAAACAGATATCTTGCCCGTTAGCGTCTTTTAATTTTCTCTTAGATGGCTTTGGATACTTTACTATATTTCAATTAAAAACACATTTTATTTTACGAGTGTATCAACAATTACATTCTGGCCATACATTTTCAAAGCTGCTCCTACTTATGCTACATTATAGTTGTAGCTCGAATGGGTTAACAACTCCTTCCTGATGTGTCAAATGGTGAGTCAGAGAACCAGAAACCTTTTTTATTGGAAATGAGGCATTCCGTCTTAGTCCCGGGTGACAAAGCACCTGCATTTTGATTCCTAATCGAGGACAAATGTAGATGTCTATGAGCCACAGCATCCACTTTTCATCAGGTGGACTGTGTGCGCATTTATTATCCTTATTCTAAAAAAAATCAATCAATAATCATTTGTGAATGATACTTCTGTTGACTTCCGGCAAAAATGAAACTTCAAACTTTCTACAGAGCAGTTTATCGCAATGATATGAGATTCTACTAAATTATCCTAAACATAATTAGCCTGTAAAGAAACTAACACTAGTGTAATGTATCTGCTCACAAAATAGTTATTATTGTATTAATTTCTTATGTTTACGCGAATACTGCGGTAAAGATGGCCAAAAAGAGATAGGTTCCTAAAATGAGTTGAGTTGAATGAATGATGAGAGTTCATTATTTAAAAATTTGTTTATTGTTCGTGAGCGACGGTAATATCGTTTGCTCAGTCATTCGATCGTGTTTAAATGTGCTACATTTAAGCACCGGCAAACAGGCGAGAAAATACCCTACCGGCGCGTCTTTTATCGAGAATCGATACGAAATTTTTTCGTTATCAGTTGCAAGGTATATTCAATCATTAAAATTAAGTACAATTATATTAAATGAAGTACAGAGTGACGGTGGCAACGGACGAGATTATATGCCAAAAGAGACGCCTGCGTTGGTCACAGATATTATCTGTCGCTGCTCGGACTCATCGGCCTGAGCATTTTAGGTTCAACATACGTATTGTTATTACAAAGTACTTACTCAGTATCCAGTTCCCCTTTTTGATATTGATTGAAGAGTTCAGCGGAAGCAAAGAGTGCTATATGAGACACCAGTGTCAGTATCATAAGAAACAGCTTCAGCACGAAACCTACGCGGAGGAACACCGATATTGAAGCCAGGGTCAGGACGGAACTGTATATGAAAGTCTGGAAACAAACAAATTGATATATCTTTTAAATATTGTTGCGCGCCTAAGTTGACGTCATGTTGTGTCACGGACGAGAGCGGGAGGAACTTTCCAGAAAATGACATCACTAATTTTTCAACCGACAGCGCCATCTAGTTTACTTGAACTTTCACGCTCGCGTATTTACTTGAATGTTCTGGATGTTTCGGTGCTAATGTGTATTTATAGGCGCTGCAAGGTGCGATCGGGAAGTATTGAATTTTGCGAGACAAGCGAAGCTTCGGAGCGGAATAAAGTGAATCAGTGTGATTAATTATTAGTGTTTTAAGTTTAATTAGTGTAAAGTGAATTAAAGTGTTAATTTTGGTAATTAAATCGGCAGTTTTTATCGTCACGAACCTCAAGGTCGTAACAATATGTCAATAAAATTTCAGTGAAATTAATATTTATAGGGAAAAGTCCCAAAGATGGGTAATATTTTTTAAATATGTTAACGAAACTTTCATCATGATCATCACATCCCATCATATATAGGCCTTTCCCTAGGAATGCGACATAGCACAGTCCTGAGCTACCTGCGTTCATCGACCATCTGCATCTTATAACACCAGGGGTAAATAGCAAGGTATAAATACATCTGTGTTTTGAATTTACTTGTAACGAAGCACTACATCTAAATCATCAGGAGTCCTACTTTAAATATATATATATATATATATAAATATATATATATATATATATATATATATATATATATATATATATATATATATATATATATATATATATGTGTGTGTGTGTGTGTGTTGGAGCAAGGTCCGGAGAGTACGGTGGATGTCGCAGACATTCCAATTGTAGCTCATCTAATATAGTGATTGTTTGTTGTGCAGTGTGTGGTCTTGCTTGGTCGAGAAGCAGCAGTGGCCTAGAGCGATAAACCAATCTCGGTTGTTTAGCAGCTAGTTCTTCCTTTATGGTTTGCAGTTGCTGACAATAGATATCTGCCGTAATCGTTTGACCAGATTTTAGAAAGCTGTAGTGAACGATACCGGCGCTAGTCCACCAAACACTCACTAGTAACTTTTTCTGAGTCAATTTTCGTTCAGGGCAAGATTTGGCTGGGTCTCCACGGTTCAGCCATTGCGAAGAGCGCTTTCAATTATCGTACAGTATTTACTTTTCATTACAATTAATGATTCGATTTAAAATCCCTTCATTTTTGTGTCGATTGAGCAAAGTAACACAGCAGTCGACGCGTGTTTGTAAGTTCGATTCACTCAATTCATGAGGTACCCATCGTTCAAGTTTTTTTACTTTCCCGATTTGCTTCAAGTGGATTAATACAGTTTTATCACTTACTCCAAAACCTGCAGCTATCTCTGAACGGCTTTGTGATGGATCCGCTTCCACAATAGCTTTTAATTTTTCTTTTTCCACTTTGTTCTGAGGCCGTCAACGGGGTTGGTTTTGAAGGTCGAAATTTCCAGAACGAAAACGCGCCTCCAGCACCGTACATATTATTAATCCTTTGAGCTGTTTCTGCAGCACTGGTGCCACGGTAGGTAGAAAATATGCCGACATTCCATGTTTTCCATTGTGCGGTGATAAGCGACGCCAAAGAAAAAAATATGAGGAAAAAACAAATGTTCGATTGTTTTCAAAACTAAATTTGAATTTGAAATTCTTAACCAAAGAGGAGATATTTCAGATCAAAGTGGTCAGTACGACAAAACGCTAATTTCATACGTAAGAACCTAATACTACTATAAATAGAGATTACATCATGTAGGTGTTTTCTTGGCGATAGGTTTAGGCGGGTAAGTGGCTAAAGACTGTTAAAGAAAAAGAAAAACAAATATTTTTATATGACTATAATTCTTAACCCATATGTGCCCGTAACTTTTTAGCAACGAATTTTTATGATTTTTGGATTAAGTGCATAAAATTGTGCTAGCAAAAGGTAGTAAATTCAGGTGTTCAATATTGGAAACATGTTTTTTAATGGGTCGTTAACGACCCACTGGGCAAATAAACTTACATATTTATATGGAAATCCAACATCAAAATAAAATGAAAGAAAATGTTTTAAGTCAGTTTTTATTCGTAACAAACGTAACAAAATTATTCATGAAAATTGGCAAACACTTGTCATGTAGATTTATACCACATTTTTTACATATATTGGTGGTTTTGTTTTTACAAACAGCACAACGTTTTCGTGCTTGACCTGTTATGATCAAGTGATCTGCACCGTGCTTCCGAGCACATATAGGAACATTACTGTGAAAAACAGGCAGTGTCGTTGGTTCAGGGTGAAGTCTTGGCGCTCCATACTTCTGTAACAAGGAACGCGCAATCGAACGTCTGAACTCCAAAGTGTCAACTTCAGCACCCATTGATCTAGCTAGTAAAGTAGAATTATTGACGGTTCCATCAATCATCCACATTATAATGCTAGAATACCATTTTTTACCTCTAATTGCAATTCTGTATGACCCAACATTGGCATCTAGTCTATCGACTCCACCCATAAAACGATTATACTGTTGAACTACATAAGGCTGCTGAATATCAAACTTTTTTTTCTCGACTGCCGAATAATCTTTCGCTTTTTGAATTGGATCAACACCGTATTCATTGGAGAGTAATGTAACAACACTGTTGTCATTCCAGAGTACAGCACCTATTTGGTCGTAAGTGTCCAAACGGTAGTCGTAATAGCCTCTTTGCTGCTTTTTGACAGACTTGACATCCATTAACGGACATTTATCAATCCTATTTTGGCGCACAGTGCCTGTTACCTTGATGTACTTGTCCTGTAAATTGCTTATAAGAGTTGGTGAGGTAAAAAATTTGTCACAAAAAACTGAAAATTGGGTTTCAGGGTATTCTTTTTTCATAGCCTTCATCATCTTAGTAACTACGTGTTTTATAAGTCCAGTGAATCGTTCAGATTTTCCCTCATATAAATCTGCATGAAGACAGTACCCTAGTCGTGTAGCAGCCGTCCAAGCTCTGAATCCGAACCGTATGGGCTTGCCATGTATATGCTGCTTGCATCCATGGCGGCCATAATATGGGATCATCGACTCGTCTATGTTTTTGACATCAAGAATTTTTCATTCAGAAAATCAAGCAATGGTCGAAATTTAGCCATTTTGTCATTTGGGCGCAAATTATTATTGTCTGCTGCATGAAAATATCTGAATATTTCCACAAAACGATTGCGGCGCATCGACTTTGAAACAAGAACATTGTGAGTGTCTTCATTTGTTTCCCAAAACATTCGACGTCTGGGTAAAGGTACATAACCACTAAAAATGAGATTTCCTAGGAAACAGTAAATATCATCTCCTGACAAAGTAAACTTTGTATTGGGGTCCTATTGCACTGCATATATAACAGATTGTTTCACAAGTTGTCGAATAACATCTTCACTGAAAAACAACTCAAAGAACTCTAAAGGTTCACTTTCTTTACTCAAAGTTAGTACGGTTCGAGGAGGTGGTTGAACCCAGACATTTTGTGGTAAATTTAAGTCTTTCTTGGTCCATCGTCTTGGTTTCTGTTGAAGTAATGGACATGCGCCTGACCTGATACTAGTAGTAATGCTACTAGACTGCTCTCAACTAGTAGAAGGCCTGTCTTGACTGGTCGTTGTCGTCGGTTGCCTGAGTTGCTCATTACTTATTGTAACAGCTGGTTGAGACTTTTTAGGCATACGTCGAGTTTTAGCAGGAGTAGGAGAAGAGATTTCAGGTTCAATAGCCTCGATTTCAACATGCTGGTCATCTTTCGACGTGTGAATTACTAGCTCAGCAGGCGTGAGAAGCTGTTGCCGATTCAATCTATCAAAATCGCAACAGTCTTCTTCCCACGAGACACCATCAGAAATTTCACCGTTACATGGTGGATCTATATAAACATCTATACCTTGAATGTCTTCCACCTCCTCCAAAGTTTCAAGGGTATCAGCTATATCAGTGGTGCAAAGCAATCGACGAGACCTGCAACCCACTGAAAACCAACGCTGTAACTCCTGCGACAGCATAAGCTGAGTGAGGTCCGTTTGTATTACGCGCCACAACGTACTCGTACAATATGAGAAATGATTTTTTTTTCTTTCTATTTTTTTTTTTAATTATAATCTATAACTATACATACTTTTAAATTGTTTTATCCGTCAAGTTGTCGTTTTGTTTCCTACTTTTGTTTTTGTCTGTTATAATGTTTATAATTGATGTGTCCACAAATGTTAAAAGGGTTGGCTATAGACATCCGGTACTTGATTTTGATAATGTTTTTAGTCTAGCAAGGTTGTTAGGGTTAAGCTTGAATCTATTACACTGTTTTAAGATGTCGGAAATGCGTTTTGAATTAATTACGATAAAAACAAATTTCACTAAAAATTGTGTAATAACGAAACGCAAAAATGTCAATTTGTTCTCGTATTATGAAGTAGATGTCCGGTACTTAATTTTTTAATTTTGTTTTCAATTTAGGAGGATTGTCAGGGTTAAGCTTAAACCATTTACACTGTTTTTGGATTTTGAATTAATTACGATAAAAATAAATTTCACTAAAAATTGCAATAACGAAACGCAAATATATCAATTTGCTTTTTTTAACACAGATACACTTACAAAAAAGTTAATCACTCGGACCCAGACAATCCATTTGTGGCTGGAGACGGGACTTATATACAACAAATTGAGTCGCAGTGTAGAGCAGTCAAGAGGGTTTTCAGAAAACAAAATTATAACAATTCACATTAAATTATTTCATTTATCACTATCATAGCAGAGTTTAGGGCAACCAGACTTTATAGATAAAATTGATCGAATCGGTTCTAAAACCGAATTAGCACACCCCAACTCCACGTAGTCTTGTCTGCCCTACCCCTAGAGTGTTTTTGTAAAGCCGTTGGCACGGAGGGAGAGCACCCCCCCCCCCGCTGTAGCAAATCGCAGGCACCTAAGTGAGCCGTAGCGGCTGAGGCTGGTCGCTGAAGGCGACCAA